GAGAGTTGGGGGGGGGGGGGGGATTTTTGATCTCAATAATTAATAACCAGTGGAATGGCCATACCACCCATGAAATTACTGAGACTTTTGAACACCATGTAAAACTATGAAGTGTAATTTCTTTTACTTATTTGTTCATATTTTGGGGAATAAAAGCATCTCTAGATCTTTTCACTTTATCATGATACTTTACGAGTCATTTAAGGGATTTTGTAGAACCATATACCTGATTGGAGATTTTATCACTACTCAAATGGAAATTTTGAAGTTGATGGAGTTGAATAGAATTATCAATAAAAGGTAGAAAGGAATAAAAATGTGATCATCCCTTTTGCATGGCCTGTAAAGTGTACTTTATCATTAGTGTGATCATCCCTTTTGCATGGCCTGTAAAGTGTACTTTATCCTAAATCCTGTCATATATGTTGAATGATGGTTGAGTATTTTTAGTTGGTCTTTGCTTCCTTGCATTGTTGCTCAAGAATCCTTTGTAATTTTTTACAGGGATGCCATCGCTTGAGAGGAAGGAGAGCTGGTTCATCTCTATACCTTGATGTACATATTGTGGTGGGTTGTTCTTCTGAATGTCAAGTTGTTTGATGCTTTTGTGGTACAATTCGAAGTTTAGTTGAAAAACTGAATTTATGTTAAGACAATTGACCTTGTGGTTTCTCTCTTGATTTATACTTGCAGGTTGATCCTTTTCTTAGTGTTAGTGCTGCTCATGAAATCGGTGAAAATGTTCGCCAGGAAATTCACAACTCCCATCCAGGAATAGCTGAAGTTTTTATACACATAGGTATGATACTTGATTCTATCATCTGCCATAAATGGTCGAGAGAGAGGGTAACACAATGGATGACATCTTTTGGATAATTATTATTTGACTTAAAAGCCTTCGAAATCAAATTGGGTAGTCCCAACAAGGAGTGTCAGTTGGATCCTGTTTATTTTAGTTGTTAATCCAAAGTTCCAAACCCTTGATTTTCTGTTTGCCTTCTAATTTCTTGGTCAACATGGTCTATAAAATGATTCAATGTCTAACCATCTTTCTTATGTCCTTATTTTGCTTTCCAGATTAAGTGTCATTACCGTTTGTCTAACAATTCACCATATGTGATCACCTTTTCCCTTTACATATATACAATTGACTCTACAGTTGTGTCCTATTACATTTTCTAATGTGCTTGCAGATCCCGCATATTTATGTATTTCTCCTACTATGATGGATCAAGAAGAAAATTTAAATGGAAAAGGGAATCAGAATAAAAAGATTTCTTTGGATGACAAAGACATTGAATTGATTGTTTCTGGCGTTTTCTCATCAAAGATCCCGGAGGTATTTGTCTCATTTTATTGTTTTAACCTTTTCTTTCTTTCAATCTATAAGAGGTTTTAATGGATTTCAGAAAATAGAGGTTGAGCGTATAACCCGCCACCTGATGCAAGGCAATATATTACTCCAAATTGAAATTTCCATGCGCCCTAGCATCTTGATTAGGTATGTAAGCCAGCCTTTTGATGTTCTTGATCATCATGCTGTGCTGTGTTTGATATTTTTCCTTGCGGCATCATAGGGACGCCATGGAACTGGCAGGAGAAGCAGAAAAGGAAATCTTAAAGGCATCCTCTAGTATCATTCAAGTTGGTTTTCTGCTAAGATTAGGGAGTCCCATCCCCAAGTTTGTCAATGAATAGTTGGGATGCCTCAGGGACGGAAGCTCATCCACTGATCTGCATGTTTGTATTTTAGAACAGTGCATTTGTTGGATTTTGTATACATAGTCCCTAACCCTGAAAGCGGAATTGTCTAATTGCTTATGAGAGGTACCATACAAAGACCGCTAGGAGTAACCCCATAACATTCTATAAAATAAAACAGCAGGATGGAATTGCATATCATTGGAAGCCATGATATCTGAAGAAACCCTTGTTAAAAAAAATAAAAATTCACGCCTTTCTCGCTTTGTCACCTATTCTAATTTATAAATTTTGTTTTCAATTATCTATTATAATTTATTTGGTGTTCTTCTGTACTGGGTCAAGAACATAATTCGGAGGATAATTATCCATCATGATTCTTTAAGTTCCTCAGTGATTATTAAACAAATTAATTGGTAAAATTTGTCAATTTATCTTTAATTGAAAATCTAAGTTAAACATAAATGCTTACACAAGGTTACTGGGCCGCTTCAATAAATTAAAAAATTACCTCGGTCACATTATAATTAGCTTAGGTCACATTATAATTACTTAGTTCATTAATACGAGTCATAAGTCATACAGCATACATGTAATATTCTCTTCAATGTTTTACCATATTTTCAACCATCACTAATACAATCTTTTATAATTTAATGACCACCTATAATCTGTCTTAGAACATTTCTTGTTCATCAACCACACACACATGTATAACAGAAGAACATAAAAGGCATAAACATATAATATAATTGTGCATAAGTGTCAATTTTTATAACTACTTAAACATACAAAGTATCACAATAAAAGACCCATCTTAATGAAATGCTCCTTGTATGCCTTGAGAGGCAATCCTTTTTGATCAATGGGTCAACAATCATAGAAGTGCAACTAATGTTTTTAATTGAAACTAATGGTTTCTAGACCCTCTCTAGCAACCAAATATTTCGAATTTATATGTTATGTACCATTAGAATGCTTTCAATTCTTAAAGAAAAAAAATTGCTATGATATTATCACAATATATCTTTAATGGTTGGATAATTGAGTCCTTATCAATTTTGTTCTATTTAATATTTTATTTTTTTTATTGGAATGATAAATTTTAATTCCAAAATAGTTTATCATTACATTTCATGATCATGCAATATGTGTGTATGATTCAAAATATTAATTCAATATACATTATTGATATATGATTTATGCTTGAGATTGTGTTAGAGTTGTTCCCTTTAACTTTTCAAAAATATCTTACTTTCTGTAATTTGTTAAAATTTGCAATGTGTTTTCCCACAATTATTTACAGGTATAATCCAATCACCAAAGCCATGAGCCAACTAATAGAAACCTCCAAATAATATTCCAATAGTCCATAAATTGAAACAGATTAAACAAAGAACAAGAAGGTATCTTAGCAATGCAATCCTAGCACTCTTGTTTACTCGAAGATAAATAGATTCAATCATATAGAAACAAATAGAAAGTTCAAAGGGAAGATTAAAATGAATAATTTAATAAAGTATAAAGTAGCAGACAAAAAAGGCTAACGTGCAGATTGTGAAGCTTTACAAAATGATTTGCATAATAAAAATTAAACATACATGTAACCCCATCACTGGAACCATCCTATAATTTGCCTGCAATAAAAAAGAAACAAACAAAACAACAAAATTCTAACCCATTTATAATTCAAATACGAAACTCATAAAGGAGAAATAATTAAGCATAAATAAAACTGCAAACATAGAAAGATAACAGATTCAAAAGAGGATGAAAAAGAACAAGTAAACACAAGGGAAAGAAAAGGAAATTAAATATACCAACCATGATGCTGCGTCAAGAAAGCTTTAGCTGCAATATGCAAAACCTGTTTTTATAGATAAATTCAAATAAAAGAAATTATAAAAAATAACAAAAGCCATGATAAGTAAAATTTGTAAACCTCCAGTTTTAAATTGATAAAATAGTACAGTAAACATCATTATAAATTGAATAAATTCTAACAAGATAATATATTATTAAAAGAAAATTCATGAATTGGGAAAAAACCTTTAGAGAAAAATATAATGGAACTCCAAGTAAATGAAAATATAAATTTACTCATGCATAATATTGATTGTCTGTATAAACCCTCCATTTACCTGCATAAATGATTTTATAATTATACAAAAACAACCCCACCTCCCTTTTTCTTATAAGCTGGTCCAAAATTCCAGCAGCAAAAAGGGTAGAGGCAACGTTTCTTTTCATTTATTTTTCTTCTTCTTTTTATTTTTCTTCTTAATTCTTGGAGACAGAATGAGTTAGGAAGAAATTGATTCTAATAAGAGGTTAGAACTTAGAGAGATAATCAAACATTATTTGGAGAAGGAAGAAGGCTCTAATGATAACTTGCAAAGTAAACTATTAATTGAGTTGAATTTGTGTAAGAAAGATGTTTTCTATGATTATTTTTCTTGTTTTAGTGATTTGGTGATGAGGGGATGACCCCCCCCCAAAATAAAATTCTGTATTTTTTATGGAAATAATTGTTTTGATGAATTGTTGCTTGATGGGTATATTAATAGTGAAAATAACAACCACAATTGAAGAAAAAAGTTGATTTTTTTTTTTTTATAAATTCTTGTGTCTTTATCGTCAGCCATGAGAGAAATTAAGGGAGATGAAAACCTTGCTTAAAATTTTGTGGTACTATATATTTATTAAATGTGTAGATAGGAGTAATTGTATTTAGAAAAGATTTTTGATGAGATAAGAGAATTTCATGTTGTATGTGTTGTCAGTAAACTTCTAAATCGAGAGGGAGGGGTGATGGTGTTTGTAAGTATTGGGAAACAATCATGAAAATATGATTAATAGGTTTAAGAGTTGCCATAAAGTATTATAGTTATTACCAAGCTTAATGGTTTGTGAAATTTTGAATAAAGATACTAGTTGTGCACGAGAAAGACGCATTACTCTTAGTATACACTATCTATAATAAACTGCATTGTTAATTGATTATTTTTTCATCTATGATAAACTGCATTGTTAATTGATTATTTTTTCTAAGGTTCGTGTTTCTATTCATTGGTCTGTTTTAGGTTTAAAAAAAGTTTTTCTTAACAAGAAAGTCCTTCTCTTATCAAGTTAAAACCTAATCATTATAAGACTAAAAAATTAACGGTGTTTTTGAAATTTTAGCCAGATCCTAATACATAATCACAAACTTGTTATGATACCCATTACTTTATTTTTCTTTGTATTTTTCAAAATATGATAAAACTACATTTTTTTTTTAAAAAATATGCATGAATATTTTTTAGAATTTGGCTGAATGCAATTTAAAATAAAATTATATTTTTGAAAGCAAGATTTTTTTTTTTGTGAATGGAAACTAATTTATTTAATACCATAAAAGCACCTCATGTGTGGTCATAATTTCAAATATTTAATATGAAACAATAAAAAAGAAACAGAACTCCAAATTAATTGCAAAATAAATCCTTATATGTTAATTAGAAATTGACTAAGACCATGTCTGGAAAAACACTACAAAAAAGAAAAAAGAAAAATGAGGCTTGAAATTTTTATTGGGACGTGTTTACCAAACAAACATTATAGACCCAAAAAAATGCATTTTTTTTTGAAAAATTAATGTAAAGCCAAACATGGCCTTAAGCTTTTCAAAGACTTAGCTCTGCCATGCAGGCTGAAATCTCTAATTAAAACCATAGTTATAAGACTCGACCTAGGGGTTTACCCCACTAAGGAGCCTTTACATAAATACATGTGATATTTCTATATGATTTTTTCATGTGGGTTAGTTTAGTGTACATGTCTTATGACAAACATCTATATATTAGTTCTAAGTATCCCTTATACCTCAGCTTATGAGAACAACAACTTACTTTCATAAAAAAAAAAATCACACAATATATATTAGTTTTTATGACTTTAAAAAATATATAGTATTAAGAGAGCATTGACCTGTAACATTTAAAAACAATACTTTAATGTAATAAGAATCCCATAATTATAACATCTTTATAATTTTCTTTGCAAAATGTTTTTGTTCTATGGACTTTATCTTTACTTTAGATTAATTTATCAAATATTAAACTGATAAATTAAATATTAATGAATATTAAAGATAAATAATGTCTTTATTTAATAAAGTTAAATATGTTCCACATGAATAAAATAGTGTCATATGTAACCAATTGATTGGCTACTTGTCATATAAATTAACAATCTCTTCCACTAAAGCCAATCTAATACCATATCTCTCCATATAATGATTATGTATATGCTGGGACAGTGTTTTAGTGAGAAGATTTGCGAGATTCCCTTTAGTGGATACTTGCTCTGTTTTATATTTTATATTTTTATGATTTCTCTAATAAGATAAAATCACCACCGAGGTACATTTTTGGATCTTTGATGAGATCTTAGTTCCTTTGTTTATGTAATGGCTACATTGTTGTCACAATTCAAGATTACTGGATCAATAATGCTAGGAACCACATCAAGTTCAGTAATGAATTTCTTGATCCAAACAATCTCTTTTATCACCTTGAACACAGATATGCATTCCTCTTCAATTATAGATACTGTTGTGGTTTCTTGTTTAGAACTCACAACACCTCTATTTAAAGTAAAAACATATATCATGACTGAGATTTGTTATCATCAATATCTAATTAAAAACTAGCATCTAAATAACCATAAACTTTTAGTTCATTTCCTCCAAAGACTAGGAAAACATTCTTAGTCCTTAAGTATTTAAGAATATGTTTAACTATTTTCTAATGACTATTACCAGGATTAGATTGATATCTATTTTTTATACTCAAGGTATAAGATATATTTAGTTTAGTACATAACATATAGAGAATGAATAATATAGCTGAAGCATAGGTAATCATTTCCATTTTATCTCTCTCAGTTTGTGTTTTAGGATATATGTCTTTGGAGAGACAGATCTTATATGAAATCGGTAAGTTTCCTCTTTTAAATTCTTCCATGCTAAACCATTTTAGCATCTTGTTTATGTAAGTAGATTGAGACAATCCAAGTAGTTTTTTATATCTATCCCTTCAGATCTTAATTCCTATTATATAGGTTGATTCTCGTATATCCTTTTTAGAGAAATTCTTAGACAATCAAATATTTACTGATTGAAGTAAAGGAAAGTCATTTCCTATTAGTAATATGTC